GTTAAAGACTCCAGCAATGTTTTATTGAATCATACTATGAGTTATCTTACTGTATACAATAGTTGTATATAAATATAATACTATAGATAGTATACTAAAGAAAGATCCCTCCGGAGAATCTGTCCTAATGTGTTGGCTTGTTTTTAATGAACTGATCATTATTCTGCCACTCAACTCAGCTGATCATAGGGAGTAAAAAATAAGCTCATCACAGACATCTACCTCTTAAAACAGACTGCTGTTGAATTTCTGATGTTGGTTATGTTTGAAGTTCAATTTCTCACTTCAGATATATTTATAGTACACATGACAGGATTGTAAACATGTAAATATAAAGGTGTAAAGCACAGGGGCTCTTTGGAAGCAGAAGATCACAATGGAGCAAAATAAAGCAATGGATCCTATTATGCTCATTTTCAGGGTCATATTTGTATGTTGTCCCTCTGCTCTGACCTGCTCTGACCTGCTCTGACCTTCTCTGACCTTCTCTGACCTGCTCTGACCTGCTCTGACCTAAAGCTCTTTATTTTTCTCATACTGCCTGTGCTGCAGCACTTCTTTTCACCCTCTGTCTGAAACCAGAGCCCAGTCTGCTCTAATTGGTTAGCTGGCCCACTCTATTGTCATTGCTCCACCACTGATGTCCCGCCCCTTAACCTACAGTATCACTTACAATGTGTTACAGCGCAATAGAAGCGTGTTTGTTACATAATGACGTCACTATGTCACAGAAGTAAACTCCCTCTGGAGGGAACTTTGGGATTTTAACCTTTGCAGACCATTTACATGCACAAACACCTATATAACACACTATAGGAAAGGGAAAGTCCCCAAAACCATAACAGGGCCTCTTTAATAGTGCTTTGATTTAATAACATATCTACAGTCTAGTTATTTGAATTCTCTAGATCAGGGGTGCCCACACTTTTTGGGCTGGTGAGCTACTTTTGAAATGACCAGCTCACCGAGGTCTACCAACCAAAAATAAAATCCCAAATTGCAAGGGTTGCTGAATAACACGTTTTATTTATACATGGGATAATAGGGCTGCAACGACTAATTTGATAATCGATTAATCTATCGATGAATGAAACGACTTATCGACTATTCGGACTATTACTGTATGCCTTGCACAATTTCTCAAACGCTCTTATTTAGCAATCAACTTTTAGATTTAGCTTGAGGTTGTTTTAGGCATGTGGAAACTAACAATGAAGACAATAAAGATGAATACTTGATTCAAAAATACATACATTATTAAATTAACAAATTGTTTACAAAATTAACATTGCTTTTTATTTAAATAAAATAAATAATATTTCGCATCAAAAGAAACAACAATGTTTTAACAAATCGTATTAAATAATCTGATGACAGAACTGTGAACAGAATAGCTGAAACTTTAACAAAATAAAGAGTAACTCAGTTACCTCTAATCATTAACCCATGTTTGTATAATTGAGTTAACTGCGTGTGTTGCTGCTAGCATACATAACACCTGACGTGGAAACGTTACTCGTGGATGGGCTGCAGAGCTGCTAGAAAGACAGTCGAGCCCGGTGCATTCCTCCGTCTGAATGTGGAGCACTTTTGATAAATGTTTAGACACACTGCTCGTGTTACCGCCCTCACATGCTGAACTCTCTTGGCAAGGAGCATTGTCCACCTCAAGACGGGTAACATTTAACCACACCTTGGAGCGCTTCTCTCCGCCATCTCCTCCGTGTGTTGCTGCATGTAGCAGCCGCGTGTGTGTAAACTGCCTCCTCGCGCACAGACGGGAGAGAGATCTCGTCTCGATTGGAAAGATCAAAAATACACCGACCATAGACGCATTTGTTTGTCTTTTTGCATGTTAGAAACGAGTTGGCGACACTAAGACTGCGAGATAATGTTTGTGTAGCAATAATACATGACCTTTCTCAACTCGCTACTCGGAGGGAAGTCGCTGTCATATGCCTTGTGAACACTCCGATAATGCCTCTCCACGTTACCTTTCTTTGGCAGAGCGACGCTTGCTTTACAAATAAGGCAAATAACCTTTGAATGTGACATCACAACAAAATATTCTTCCTCCCATTCTGGGTGGAAGTGGTTTGTCTTTAGCTTCTTGCTCGGTCCCGCACTCATTTTGTTGTTTGTCTCTTTAACTTAATTTGAGTTTTCCCGGCACTTGACTGATTTTGTATCGCTTTGCATTCTGGGTTAACAGACTGGAAAGCGATAGGTCGCTTTTTCTGTCAATCAAGTAAACTCCTGAATTAAGTGGCAGGGGGGCCAAGGGAGGAGGGATCAAAACTTGTTTTGTCTATTTTAACGGAGCTGGATTTTTTTTTTAATGAATGACTCGCGATCTACCAGCATTGCCCTCGCGGTCGCCCGCGGTCGACGTACACCTCTGCTCTAGATGTTTGCAATGATGGGAATCACTCATCAAGAATTGTTTTTTGAGAGAGATATTTTTAGATCATTTCTGCTTGTGTTTTTGCATCAAAACATTGTGGAGCGTATTTCTGGATTTGCAAAGAATGTATGCATTTTAGTGGGATCATTTGCATTACAGGAATTACAGTGTCCACATTGAAACTGCTTGAAAATATGCGCACAACTAAACCCAGGCTATGTACAGGAGATAATAAGAGATAGGCAGTCATCTGCCATGTGTGCAAAAAAAATGAAGATGTTCATGTGAGCCTCAGATTACACCAGGTGTTTTCTCTGATTAGCAAACCTCCCAAGCTAATCAGTGAAATCACCTGCTGTAATCTTCTGTTGTAATAAGAACACGCTAACTTCTGGCCTTCCACGGCACGTGAATTATCACTGAAACTGATTTGCATCTGAAGCAAATGAAGCTTCTCGATTAAGGGAAATCAGTAGCTTTAAATTTATATATTCTAACTGAAGCTACAGCTGTAATTCTTTCACTATATGATGCTTTGGACCTGATCATTATAAGGACAATATATCCTAAGTTTAAGTCGGTTTTTTCAGCTAGAGCTGGTATTTCCAAATGATGTATGCAACCATTAAAATGCTGCTTGACGTTCTGTGAAACCTTTTAAATTGTGAAATGCCATTTTCCATAATTATCCAGCTAGAGAGAGAGGCAGAGAAACCTTTATTGACTGGAGCTGTCAAGGCAGTAAGCAGGTTAGCATTTAATAAGAACAATTATTCTCTGTGTGTGTGTGTGTGTGTGGTGTGTGTGTGTGTGTGTGTGTGTGTGTGTGTGGTGTGTGTGTGTGTGTGTGTGTGGTGTGTGTGTGTGTGTGTGGTGTGTGTGTGTGTGTGTGTGTGTGTGTGTGTGTGTGTGTGGGTGTGTGTGGTGTGTGTGTGTGTGTGTGTGTGTGTGTGTGGTGTGTGTGTGTGTGTGTGTGTGTGTGTGTGTGTGTGTGTGTGTGTGTGTGTGTGTGTGTGTGTGTGTGTGTGTGTGTGTGTGTGTGTGTGTGTGTGTGTGTGTGTGTGTGGTGTGTGTGTGTGTGTGTTGTGTGTTGTGTGTGTGTGTTTTAATGTGTGGGGTCGTTGCATAAAATAAGTATTGGCTATACAGAAGAGTTTCAAGTTGTTGGATTTAATTAGTTTACATGTTAAATGATAGCTGAGGTCATGACTAATTGCTTGCGCAGCCTGCACTATTGTGAAGCCTTTTTCTTTTTGACGCTTCAGGTAATTCAGGTTCCGCAAGCATATATACAGGGCTCAATTTGAGGTTGATATTTTTTTCAAATGAAATTGCAGAGTTTATATGAGTGTGTATTGGTTTTGTTAGGGCCATTCTGGTCAGTAAAGGTATATGGCAGCATCATTAGTGAATAGATGCAATGCAACCCAGTGTTTAAACCAGTGGTTGGTGGCCGGACTGTAATTCTGACTGATTTTTGTACAGGGGTCATTTTAATTAAATCTGTTGAAAGCATTGACTACTAAGATCAATGTAGCGGTGTCACTTTAATACTTCCACTCAAAAGGCATTAACATTGGTGGATTGACACAATAAATACTCATCATTGCAAACTGTATAGCCTAACTGGATGGTCCTCACTTACTATGCGTAGGATGCAGCATTGGTTTTTATTAATGTATAAAGCCATTTTAGGTAAGCTTCCACTGTACATATGTGCCAGATTTGCTCCAGTTTGTGACTCTTACAACCTCAGATCCAGTGCCTGGATGCAGTTCCAGGTTCCTGCTGTGCGGACTGAGGCTGGGAAAAGGAGTCTTTTTTATTATGGTCCTTGGTCTTGGAATGACCTTCAATCACGCCTCAAACTGAGGGCACTTGTCCCTATAGCCTGTTTTTTAAATTGAAGTTGTCTGAGGTCCTTACCACCAGCTGCTCTTTCAGTAATAAGTAGTGCACCTTTCTTACTGTCCTAATGTGCACAATGTAGTGACTGCTTTTTCGTCTTTTGTTTACTTAGTTATGTTCTCTGTATTTTATATGTTTGTGTTATGTGTAACATTGCTGCCTTCTTGGCCAGGTCAGCATTGCAAATGAGATTGTATCTCAATGCTTTTTATCTGGTTAAATAAAGGTTAAATAAAAATAGTCACCTGTGAATTTGTATGTATTTTACTTGTATTGGAAAAAGTAGGTACACAAAGACTGGGTGAAGTATGTCTTTGTCAAGGTAGGAACTTTGTAGCTTGTTGTATTATCCTCATAAATATAAAAGCAACTTAACCCCATTCACACAATGGGATTGCTATGCCTTTATCTGTGTTTTCAAAGCTCAGAAAAAGCAACCTTTTTAGAGGATAAAAACTCTTGGAAATAAATATACTCCTTCATGAACTAATGGCACAAAAAAAGCCCCCGTTGTGTAAAGAGTCTTTAAGTGACTTGTTCCTTATTTAGTTGTCCTCAGTTAGAAATAAAATGTCAACTATTTCTGTTCACAAACGGGGAGCCCCACTGGTTTAAACAAACAACTCTGTCAATGAGTATGTAGGTGTACAGCTAACAGATTCTGTGTACTGCTTATGTTAGTACTTACGTAGACTGTTAAGTGTGACTCTTGTCTGGATATTCTCGTAGTGCTGGCCAAGTCCAATTTCATCCGTATGTTCTGAGGCAGGATGGCGGATAACATGTGCAAGAGCTCTGTAAAGATGAAGAACACTCTCAGAGATGACATTTTTCAGTAAATACCAAATGCACTCCGGCTTTTTAGTCCTTACAGGAGGTGCGTTGTTGAAATAGTTTGAAATCTAAGCAAGGGTCAAACATGACACAAAAGAACACTGGAACGTAAATTTGCCATAATGCAACTACAGTGAGTGTCTGTCTTTACACTCTCTCTGCCTCCTAAATGACCCTCATCACACCACCATGGCGTCATCAGGGTTCATTTATTTGGCTTGACACAGCTCCCGCCAAAACCACTGACAAGCGTTTAACAACAACTGTGTGTTTTCTATCAGACCTTAATTGTCCTTTTCAGTTGTTTTGCAAATTAGTTATGTTTCCAACTGTTGAGTGCTCAGGATATTTTTGACAAGGATACATTACATTACATTGAAGGATACATTACATTACATTGAATTTTCAACCATATTTATTTAAGTACCTCCCAAGAAATGCAACAGAGAGGCACATAGACTGGGATTGTGATAGTTATTCACAGTGTGGATTATGTTGGGAGCCTGTAGATTCAATAACATGGAACATACTCTCTCAAAGAATGACAATGAAACACACTGTCTGCACAAAGTCTTTTGAGTGATCAGCAAGAGAGTAGTAAACCTCTTTGTGTGCATTTGTAAGGTGTGTTTGAGGAAATATTGAGCATGTCTGTGTATTAACCATCTAGAAATGTTTGATGCATGGGCGTCACTTTGTTTTCAAAAGTGGTGGGGACACTTTTTTCTGATAAAAATAACACTGTATTGCGCGCCACCCATTTTTTTACACACTAATTTCCTTACTATTTGCTCGCAACACCTGTATAGACAGGGTCTACAGTGTCACTGTCAGACTGTTTCCGTAGAAACCATTATGTGTGGCCAGGGGAACATTATTGAGGAAGCCAATGATCTCCGTCTTTTTTAAGAGTCTTGAACACGCCTGGGGGATCCTCCCCGATAAGATTTATTTTTCTTTTAACATGTAAACTACGCATTCTGGTACTCTCTGACAAGAAAATAAAGAACATTTACTTTAGGCTAACAGGCCAAACAACTTGGTGACACTTTTTGTTTGTCTGCACGTGATATCTTTTCATTCAACTTTAATTGTACATTTTGCAGATAGTGGACAATCTATACATAATTGTTACGTTCAACCAACGTATAGGCAGCCGAAAAAAATCTGCCCCTTCCCCTTCAGACTTCCTTTCAGAGCCCCTCCTCCAACACACATGAACGCGCACATGACCAATGAGGGCACGAGATAAGTTTGTGCACAGATGGAAGGCTGACAGGCAGGTAGGCCATCCAGTTATTTTAGCCGGGCCCTAAAATAATTGGTCGTGCTTTTTACGAGAGACAGCAAGCGCGTTTCGTGGCATCTGCAGGCAGTGGCAAGTACTTCTGGCAACTGCCACAGAGGCCGCTACTCTGTGGTATATGTGGCAAGTACTTCCGGCATATGCCACAGATGCCACAACTTGCCGAGGCATCTGCCGCAGCTGAACGGGAGTAAGAGAAGGTTTACTGTAGCTGCCACTCGCCTTCCGTGGCAAATGCTGCTATTTAAACCCGTATTTATCGTGTAAAATGTTGCTGTTTTGGCATGACTTTATCGAACTGATCTGTACACAGGACTGATGATCTGTACACAGGACTGATGATCTGTACACAGGACTGATGATCTGTACACAGGACTGATGGTCCGATCTCTATTTTTTTAACATTATAATTTGTATTCGATTTTACTTGGAGAACGTGGTTTGTTAAAATAAATAAACGTGCTATTTTTATGATAATACTCAAGATATATTATAAGTAAATAAAGACAATTTATTGACATTAAGATCTATCATTGTTGACCAGAGGTGGGAAATAGGCTAACTACTCAAGTACTGTACTTGTGATTTAGAAATAGCCTCCTTGTGCTTTTGTTGAGTATGTAAATGGTATGTAACTTAGTGCTTATACCCCACTACAATTCAGAGGTAAATTGTGTACTTTTACTCCCCTACATTTATTATAGGCTACCTTTAGTTACTTACTACAGATTCTGATTAATGATTAGAAATATAATCAAGTCTTAAATCAGACTTTAGTTACTCCTGGAGTGAATTCACAAGCTACCCTGCAGTATACAAAGTCATTAAAACTAGCTGCACCTTTACCAGCTTTGATAACACTTTAATGATCAATCATTATAATGAAAACATGTAATATCTACTTTAAGTAGGCCTATATTGTTATGCTAATAATTGTTGCGCTTTTACTTGAGTAACATTTTAATGCAGGACTTTTACTTGTAACAGAGTATTCCTAATTTAGGTAGGCTACTTCTACTTTTACTTAACACTAGAACAGCCAGGGGGCGCTGTATAGCCATACCTAAAACCGCCAACGTGTAAATATACCCGCTATTAGAATGCATTGATTTTCAAGGTACAATGTTATTTTATTTATCATACTAGAACACAATGAGTGTTGCCACTTCTCGCCATGGCATGTGCCTTGGCATTTGCAGGCAGTGGCAAGTACTTCCGGCATCTGCCACAGAAGCCACTACTCTGTGGCATATTAACATAATTCCTTTCTGTCATTGACTTTACCAAAGTCTTTATATATTTTGTTGGAGGATGGCGGGACCTACGATTTTCATTGCCATAAGCAATAGCTGTGCACATGATAATATAAACATTTTAATGTACTGGTTTAAACTGAACCTTTCACCCTTGATTGATTTACAAGTTATGCTTTGGATAATATGATAGATCTTGCAGTTATTGAAAAAATATGAAGAATGTCTAACTTCAAACTCTAATGTATCTTATGGAACTGATGATATTGGAGTTCATTCCCCAGTAATGACACTGTCTTCTTGTTAGCAAAATCATTAGCTGATACTGAACTTCTTCTTTGAATGATCTACCTTTAGAGCAAGCCACTCTGCCCACTCAGGAAGTTCACAAGGTGCTGAAGCAAATTCACATGTAGGCTAATTACATTGGGAAAGACTTCTGTAAATCTTGTTTGTTTTTTTAGTTAAATCAACTTTCCAGTATGAACACTTGAATAGCCGTTATTTATATCAGTTAATCATAAAAGTTTTGAAATGCGCTAAAAGCCGAAAACAGAGAGTTAGGCTATTTTCCCTGCATTCATGTGACAGAGCCGAGAGCGGCTGAGACGCAGCGGCTGGGAGGCGGGGTTTAAGGACAACTAACAGGGAAGACGAAACCATGTTCCTCCTTTTGTGAGGGGCCCCTGCATACAAATACTGCAGCCTACTGTATAATTATGATGATTGTTGAAAATGCACTTTTACCATAAGGCCAGCATTTGCATAGCATAGCAGCATTTGCCACGGAAGGCGAGTGGCAGCTACCGTAAACCTTCTCTTACTCTGGCATCTTGTGGCAACTCCCGTTCAGCAGCGGCAGATGCCTCGGCAAGTTGTGGCATCTGTGGCATATGCCGGAAGTACTTGCCACAGATACCACGGAGTAGCGGCCTCTGTGGCAGATGTCGGAAGTAGGCCTACTTGCCACAGATACCACGGAGTAGCGGCCTCTGTGGCAGATGCCGGAAGTAGGCCTACTTGCCACAGATACCACGGAGTAGCGGCCTCTGTGGCAGATGCCGGAAGTACTTGCCAACTGCCTGCAGATGCCACGAAATGAGCCAGGCTCCTACTGCTTTTTACAGCGCCACGGCTTCCACAGATTAATTTTTTGTATGTATTTATTGTCAAAGGATTGAATGTATTCATTGCTATCGGGATGTTAAGAGCATTCCATGGAATATAACAAAAAGTGTTTCTGAAGTGAATTACCTACCCTACCTTTAAGCAGACCTTTTGCTTGCTTATTTGAACAACTTCAAACATTAAAAAATTAAGAAACAATTAACTTTAAAAATAAATAGACATACAGTATTTCTCTTACATTTATAATTGTCTGCTGTTTACATCGGTACTTTCCAAATTGAAATGTGGACAAAAAAACGGGCACACACAATTTGCACATATGGCAATGCAATAAATATCAAAACACACTTTTAACACTGACAAAAATGTGCTTATGACTTTCTACTAAGCATCTGGCTGAGTTTCATTAAACGTGTCTTGACTTTAAGAAATTGTTAAAGAAAAGAAAATGTTAAACTGAACTGTGGTCCAACATAATCTGTAAAAGGATATCACGTTGAGTACACCTTAACTTATTTTCATAGTAACAGGTTTATTTACAAATCAACTTGTTGCTTTGTGACTTTTTTTAATCAAATGTAAATGTTTTGCAACCAGTCGATTTATTACATTGCAGGGCTCAGCAACACATAATAACTGATCAGCTTTTAGATGTGTTGATCAAATCAGCGATGACCTAAAATGATGACCTACCTTGACATATTTTCTCTGTGTGGACGGTGCGACTTCTCCAAACCTAGCTTGGTGAAAATTCCTATCAGTGCCAGTATGGCCACGACCCCGCAGATGACATACACAATGAGGTTGGTTTTATCCTTCGAGGACTCCTGCGCCACGTCCACTTTGGGCGGGGGTCTTCCGGTCATCATCCACGGCGGGGTGTCGTAGTTCTTGCAAGTGGTCTGGTCCAGCCGGGAACTTTTGAACGCGCAGCAGAACCTGAAGCCACAGGTGCCGCAGCAGTACAGGTAGTTTCCGGTCTGGCACACGAACGGCGGGTCCCACTGGCCCATCACGTCGTAGTAGCCGCGGCACTTGTCCTCCGTGTGCGGGCTCTCCGTCACCTCCCCTTCCTTCGAGTCGTTAAAGCCGGTCACCAGCATGAATTCGTCCCCGGTGTGAGACGGCTCGCCCTCCGCGTCGCACACCATAATTTTCACCAGAAAGTATCCGAGCAGCAGCTCAGTGACCCGCATCGTTGATCACTTTGTACTCCGCACTTGACGCCCTGGGGAGCTCTCACAAGCCCGGACGCATCTTCCGAGAAGACGAAACAAAGCCATGCGTAAATGTGTTTAGGCTGGTTCCAACTTCCATGCGTAAAGGCACAGTGCGCCTTTTTACTTTTCTCTCCTTTGAAAACTAACTGTAAATATTGTGCAAAGATATAGTCCAGGCTTCTTCCACTACTGTAGTTGATAATAGGAAAGGCAGTGCACCTGTCTGCTGGAGGGAGTCACACACCTCTGAGGCGGCTGCTCTCCACACAGATACAGGGAGAGAAAGAGAGAGAGATGGTGGGAGAAACACAATGCAGAGTGGAAGGGACCCTGAAGAGAGAGTGGAGAGAGAGAGAGGGGGGGGGGGGGGCTGTGTGCAATTACTACCCTTACAGCCAGTTATTATTGTGTTGACTCAGAAAATCATCCTTTACCTTACAATCCATGATCCAAATCAACTAAAATGAAACGCAGAGTGCTCAAACCAGCAGTCCCTCTTTAATTGATCGACATCTTTAATACAGGCATTTACAATGGAAACACTTAAATTGGAGCTATTACTGTTATTTAAAAAAAATCGTAATTTCTGAAAATTGATTTTTTTTTAAAATTACTTTAAGTGACATTTTAACAGATCTTAGCGTGGCTCAAAAGCTCACATGACTGCTTTTAAGGCACCCAGACTCAATGCAGAGCCACCCAAATAAACTCCTGTTTCAAGGATTATTGATATGCTCACTAGAACTTTAGCTCATAAACTTTGTCTTTACCCGCTGTAATTTATTGTGAGTGCCCCTATCAGTACTAAAGAAACTGTGTGAGAGGACTTATTATGCTCATTTGCAGGTTCATGTTACTCTTTGCTTCTACTGTGACATGTTTACACACTTTAATGAGACAAATGTAACATTTGTGATATTGGGCTATATAAATAAACATCGATTGATTGATTTAATGTCCGAAAAGGTCTTTATTTTTCTCATACTGCCTGTGCTGCAGCACCTCTTTTCACCCTTTGTCTGAAACCAGAGTCCAGTCTGCTCTGATTGGTTAGCTGGCCGGCTCTGTTGTGATTGGTCAACAGCTTAAGAATGTCACGCCCCTTAGCCTATCACATACAATGTGTTTGAGCGCTAGTCAATAAAAGCATAAGTGTTACATAGTGATGTTTAGTGAACAAAGGAACTCTCTCTGGCGTAAACTTTGGGATTTTAGACTTTGCAGACCTTTATAAAAACCTATATAACTAATCATTTGTTATCTCTAGCCCGATAGGTCAAGTGAGTTGCTAGATATACGAGCCCCCTTAGTGGCAGAATACCTTACAGTTGAAAGCATTCTTGTTCTGCCCTGAGATAAACTTCACTAGTTATCACTTTCTATTGGTCAATAAAGTAAGAATATGTTAAAATATAACAGTTGCAATTAAAACTGTTGACTTATTCCCATCTGTTATTATCACCCCTCCCACAGTTGTAACACAAGTGATATCTTAGCAAACTCTGAACAAAAATCTGTTGAAGATTCATCTTTGCATTTCTTATAGAAACCCTTCTATTCAGATACCCAGAACATAAGATACAGGTTTATATAATGATGGGTACACACACACGGTAACACAATTCATTATTCTCTGCATGGCATTCAAAAGCCTGTGGGGAAAATTTGATTTAAATATGCAGTAATCCTGGTTAGTATAAATACACAAACACATACTACACCAGTGGTGTAAGGCTCACATGCTTTGAATCAGGTCGTTGTAAAAAAATAAATACAGCCTGGATACAATTACTGCTTGTAATATTTTTGTATGTAATCATTATGATCTGGATTACAGTGTGATTAACCTTACAATTGTGTTCTGGAATGTACTGTGATCAAATGCAGAGCACTTCATGCCAACGTTCATTTCATGCAACGTGTCAGCCATGCACCCTCGGCTATTAATTACTGATCGTTTACTAACAGTAACAGATGATGAAGGGGCCTGACAAGCACGGATCTGCAAAAAAAAGCCTATTTATTTTTAGAGAAACCTTTTTATCTAAAATTATTATTAGAGAAAGTAGGCACACCATCTGCCACTTGAGAAATCTCAAGTTTCCGTTTGATGTTGAATCGTCTTAGCCATTGGAGGCTACTTTTATTTACAATCGTCTGGGGAGTTTTAGCTTGTCTTGTCTCTGTACTTCCTAAAAGTTCACTATAATTATATAATTAAATACATTTATAGTTTGCACAGCACCCCCTGAAATGAAACTTCAGAGTTTCTTTAAAGTACAAACGGCTTTATTAGGACCACACTATGACATTTCTTGAAATGTTGAATTTTAATAAATGGAAAGGAAAACAAGTGAAACAAAAACATAGTTAACCCTACGTTGTTGTTATATAATGAACTTCATCATGTGAAATGTATATTATCCATCTTGCACAAAATAGTTGAAAAGTAGTCGCAATTATCTTATTTTCTTTGCCAATAAATACAAGTATGTACTTTATTAATAAATATAATATGACAAATGCTTTAGTCGTTGTTGGTATTCATTATGTCCTGATAAAGTCCTTCAGGATGTTATCGCTAGTAGCTTTTGAGAGTATATAAATATTATTTTATACCATTTATGTAATTAGTTATATTTGGTGCACAAGCCACTAAGTTTGACATTTCAGATTTCAGTCAAATCAGTGAATACAAAATGACATGGTGCACTGGCAAACAAATTACCAGCACTCTAACCAAAGAGCTGTATTTGTGGGCTCATGTTTCTCCGTTGACATTTTCTGCAGAACTACTTTGAGAGAAATATAAGCAAACAATTCAACAGTATGTGCTACAGGGCTGACGCAAAGAAACTGCATGAGTCTTTTACCTGCGTCTTTTCAAGAAATGTAATGACACCATTTATTCCAAGCTATGGGTGGGAGCAGGTGAGCAGACAGTGTTGTAATTCTGCTCACACAGCGGGGAATGTGAATGTAATCGCTCTCTGTTACATTTGAGCAACAGTCAAATGTATAGGCTCAGGCCTGAGACTGTTTTAGTGTGTTGGAGGGGGTCTGGTTAGTCTGTAAGAAACCCAAAAACCGCCTGTATGGATACTGTGACATCAGCTTATCTTATAATATTTTTCCTTACATATTTGTTATTCTAAAGTTGGTCATACCATTTCACTTTGAGCCATCAAAAAGTCTAAATTGTTACTGGATTTGAGCTGTGGGAACCCTGGCTCTGTTCATCAAGTCAAACTGGATCTTACTAGGTATAAACTGTTATCTCTCTTTGGGGTTTTGGTCTCAGAATGAGCATGGTTGAATGGCCACTGTGCTTGTATTCATTTCATTTTTTCCAACTTACAGCAGAAAATAGGGCCGGTGGATAAATGACCCTAAATCTATAGTGCATGAATGCAGCAGACGCTGCTGTGTGAGATATCAGGGGTCGTGGTACCTCAGTAACTAGACCAGAGTATAACTCTATGTGACTGCTTTTCTTAATGTGGGATGACAGTGAAGGATGGCCTGTAAGATGGAGCGACACACTTTTCCCTGACTAAAGATAGCGGAGACTAAAATTGGTGAGATATGCAACATCTGAAACGCATCAAGCTGAGCCTTTAAGTCATTTGTAGTCAAAGTGGGCCAGCCAGTGGTGGCTGTTGGTCTGTGTTCATCGCTGCTTCCCAGCATCTCACATGTTTCCCTTTGTCTTTTTGTTCATTTTCGACACTATCAAGAGGCTGAGGAGTGCTGAGAATTGTTGTCATGGTAACAGAAAAAGATGGCCAGGATGACCATGAGTGAGACAAACCTAATGGCACACTGCACTGTGCAAAGTATTTCATGACCCACTGCTACAGCTGCGGGATATATCGTTGAGATTTCCTACAGATGAAAAATATGCTAAAGTGAGCAGTGTGAGCTTTGGGGCCACTACTCAATGTGAAACTGGCTTTTTGCAGATCATCATTGCCCTGCGAAGTTTAATTATGCTCAAGCTGCTATATTGGCGTCATTTGGTTCGTGTTCATTGAAGTCTCTGCTGTGGCCTATTTCCCCAAATCCCTTATTTCTTTTCATGTTTCCCAATGTGTCTTCTGAAAATTAGGTTCAAACTGACGAAGAAAGCGCATAATTTGTTTTTTTTTTGCATAGTCCAAACCAATCACTAAATACTGGCAGCTCCCAATGGTCCAAAGCATTCTGTCAGATGTATCACTGAAAGCTTTCTGTGACAAAACTTTTGAAATTTAGCGTGTACAATTCAGAAAAGTCTTCTCAAAGCAGAACGAAGTCTAATTAGTTAAGCTGAAGTGAACTTGTCACACATTTTCATGAGCAAGAGGAACCTATATTAGTGCATAACTTAGTTTTAACGTATTTCACAAATGTTGTTATGAGCACATTAGTTTGAACCCCAGATGATGTTTCAGATGCTGCATTTGGAATATTTTTCTCTTTTAGTCACACAAAGCTAAATGCAATGTCAGTCCCAGTAAAGCTGGAAATAGCCGCCGGTAAGACTTCAAACTCGATCTGACTTTAAAGCTGTTGTAAAAAAGACAGAGAGGAGAAATTTGTTATTTTTATCAAAATGGCTGTTTAAGAAACATGTCTCTTCCCCTCATCTTCTCTTCTTTTCATTTGTTGTTTTTTTGTAAGTCAGTTTATTTCTGCTTTTGTGATCCAGTCTCTCCTAGTGAACACAGCAGAAATGCCAACAGACTGAAATCACTCTACAATAACAGTGGAGCATAGTGACATATTGAGAGCTGTACAGGAAACATTCATCCTTCACATACCAATCATCATGTCTAAATTATCGTTTTAAGCGTTATAAGGACATTTCAATAAAAAAAGGCTGTTTACAATAAAAGGCTTATTTAATGAATTCACGCATCAAAGATATAAAGAATATGTTCATAATTCAAATCTGTCAAAACAGAATCTGCAATGACAAATTACTCTAACTACCACTTTTAGCACGATGTTCAAAAAACTAATCTGAAAAAACTATACGTGCAATGTTTGATGTAGGAAACACCAGGATCAATTGTTTAGTAAACTATCCAAATATGAAATGCTGAACACACTGTAATTAGAAGAATAAAACATACATACCATGTACTAAAATCCTCTGCCAAGGCCAATGCTCTATTAACTTGCTTCTTGGATGGGCCCATTTCCCAGAGATAGGGACCGATTCTTCCAAGTTCTCTGTGTTCATT